TTTAGCCCCTGCAGTCCCACCCTGCTTGTTTTTCTCTCTCCAGCCCACGGGGTTTGTGCTCTGGGGCTGAGATTTGGATCATTTGTCCTTGGTGCCCAGCTGGAGCAGGAATTGTTTTGTCTCCCTGCTCTGTGCACAGAGCTCAGCATCCCCTGATGTGAGCCCAGCCCCACACACTAAAGCAGCACAGAATGTGAAAATAGAAAAGCCAAACCTAAGGTATCAGAGTTTTGAGTCTTATAGGTCCTAGCACGTGATACTTGTGAAAATGGGTTTTTGTGAGAGTGCAGACCTAAGAACAGTTATACAGACACCTTCCCAATTAATGAAATATGTTCAAGGAACTGTTAGTTCTGATGTATAACATAATTTGTCATCCACACAGAAGAAAACAAGGTTTAGAGGAGCAGTTTCCAGATGCATGAATCAATTGCTACTTGAAAAATTCCACCCTAAATCCAAGAATTCCACCCTAAATCCACGAATTAGAGTTGCTAGCCTTGGTTTAATCCAGTGTGCAACTTGTAACTCTCAGGAGTGAGCAAAGATCAAACTTTCTGGGGAAGCAAGAGCTGCAGCCAAAACTAACACAAAACTGTAACTTCCAGAGGAAATATTTAGAGGCATAATGAGAGGGATGGGAAACTAAACATGAAAATCAACATGGGGAAACGAAGCCCTCAGACTTGGCCCGTGTGCTGATGGCCACAATCAAATTAAGGCACATTGAAAAGGGGTCAGATCAGAAAATAAAATAAAGCACATGAACTGGGAAACAATGCAGGGCAAGAATTGCAGCAAAGCAAGACGTAGTAGTCTCATGTAAACTTTCATTTTCTCTATTTTTATTCTGGATTTATACCAAAGGAGTAAATTTAGCCTTTGCTTGGCGGTCAGAGAGCCACAAAGAATTCCTCAGTTCCTTTCTTGGTGAGGGCCTGGGAGTTGCTCCATCCCTGTGAGGGTTTCTGGATGTGCAGTTTGCACATGACCAGTTAGGGACAGGCTAGGGGCAGGGGGGAGAATGGGGCAGGAACTGTGAGGCTTCCAAACTATTTTATTATTCTGAACTATTTTAATATTCCAAACCATCTTATAACTACCTAATAACCTTCTGGAGTGTATATCGTGTTGCTCACAGGCCTGAAGGTCAGTATCATAAAAGAAGTGCCCCTTTTAAGGGGATTTTCCAATGGTCTGACCACATGTTTTTAACATGTGGGGCTCCCAATTTGCTGGGAGGGTTACAGGGATGTGCCAGGGAGTGAAGGAAGCACAGCAGCCTGGGGAGGGGAGACCTCTGCATTCATGTGGCTCTGTATTTACAGCTAAATTTCAGAACAGAAATGAAATATTTGTCTGCAGAGCAACTGGAGAGGATACATCAGCAATATCCCGATCCCTGCAGAGGGGATACACCATTAATAAGCCACACTGAGTCATTCCCTACAGGAATAGTGTTTTTCTCCAGGGCCATTGCGTGCTCCAGCTATTCCAGAGCCATCCCACTTGTTCTGTTTCCTGACTGACCCGCTTGGCATCTGCCTGTGCTGCTGTCAGAGCGAGTTTACTCCCACCACAGGGCTGGGATTTATATCTGACACGTGTTCCTCCTCTTCCCAACACTCCAGCACTGACACTCCAGCTCTCTTTCCATGCTCTCTAAAAGGAAAAAGGGATGTTTTTCAAGCCTGGCCCCAGTTTTGCAGTCTGAGTTTTTGATGCTTTTAGCAGAGCAGAGCCTTCAGCTCTTCGTCCTTTGGGCCCTTTCCCTCTCCAGCCCGCAGCAGCACACGCTCCAATTTTGGGATGCCACAAGCCAAGCTAGGGGGATCCTCCTCTTCTCCAGGGTTTATTCCAAAGCAAAATAACAGGATGGGAGGAAACAGCTTCATGTTGCACCAGGGGAGGTTAGATTAGGTAGCAGGAGAAATTTCTTCATGGATGAGGCTTGGCCAGGGCAGTGGTGGAGCCACCACGCCTGGAAGTGTCCAAAAAATGTGTGGATGTGGCACTGGAGGATGTGGTTTAATGGTGAACATGGAGCTGGGGCTGGGCTTGATGAACTTAGAGGTTTTTCCAACCTTCACAATTCCATGATTCTATGATAGGAGGACACAGATTTAATCCACAAAAGACGGGTTTGAGAAGGTGACAAACATCAGACTATCTAAATTGGTAGCTTTAACTCACATTCAAAGATCACAGAATCTGAATTTTGGGGTCCTTTCTTCATCTCTTTTCCCCTTGGCATTTTGAAGGGAGATTTTTTCCTCTCTTTCCCTCAGCATTTTGTCCCATGGCACTGAGTGAGCACGAGCCCAGCTGGTTCAGAAACGCCCCGCTGCTGATCCCTGGGCTGGAGCTCTGCGTCGGGTCTGGCTCCCACATCCTGGAACAACTCCCCATGGATTGCTCCTGCGGGGAGGCAGAGCAGGCAGGAAGCACTGGGAACCCCAGCAGGAGCTGGCTCTGCCTCCAGGGCTCTGCAGTCAATGAGTTTTGGTTGTGCAGGAAAATGCGAAACCTGTTCTGTGGGTTCCCTCGCCACCAGCAGCATCCCGGGGCTTTGGAAGTCCAAGGACAACGGCCTCACTCATTTCCTGGGGTTAGTTTATTAAAAAAAAAAAAAAAGTCTATTTGTAGTGTTGACCTTGTGATGGGGTGCAGGAATGGGATGACTTGGAAATCCTTGGAGCTCCAAATGCAGCTGGCTACTGCCTGAGCTCTGGCTGCGACCTTGATTTGACAATGTATTATGTAACAAAGTTCAGATATGAAGTTTTCAAACATGCAGCTACATTAGAAATAAAAATTTTCAAACTGTGGTTTAGCTAGGATATTGAAAAACCACTTGGCTAAATCTTTGTGTCCTACACTGGTGAACCTAATAAAATAAAGTAAAATGGAATACGAAAATGACCACTGCTAAGTGTGAATTTGGCTGAGTTTTGCCCCTGACTTGGACCCAGGGAAGATTTTCCAGCAGAATTCCAGAAGCTTCAGCATGATGGAAAGAAAATATCCTTGACTTTCAGGTAGCAAAGGCTGCTTCAGCAATGGAAATACAAGGTAACAATTAGGGCAGCTTTGAGAGGCATCCTTTGGGTTTGGATTGCTTTGGCTAAACCAGGATTCTCAGGAATATTGACTAAAAATTCATTAAATATAAATACAAATATAAATATTATTAGGCTCATAAATCACCTAAATGAACAAAAGCCAAGGATAAGCTGGTGCAGTTTTTGCATAGGAAGAATTATATTTCATTTATTAAACTCAAATGAAAGAGTTTTGCTGATGTCCCTCAGAGATGGCAGCAGGTGCTGCTGGGAGGAGCAAATTTCAGCTCTCAGCTCCCATCCCTGACAAAGTGGGATGAGGAATTCCTGTGGGCACCAGCACCTGGGAGAAGTCAGGAAAATCAACCATTAGAGCAGATAGAAACCACATTTCAAGGAAATGGGATATGATTATAGTAAATAATACATTGTATGAATGCTTGGAGGAATTGTTAGCTCCTGGAATTTACTGCTACAGGACACAAATGGCTCTGGTAGGACTCTTAAAAATGTAACTGTGGATGTGGGTTATTGAAGCCATTGTGTCTCTACAGCCCAGATTTATTTAAACATTATCTACACCTGCACAATTATTGTTAATTAATGAAGAGTAAATCTGGAGCCTGTGTGTTTTGTTGTGGGCCTGGTGTTTGGCTTCTTGGGCTTGTTGATTGCTGGGCAGTACCTCCAGGTCCAAAATTTATTCCTTGTTTGAGTTTTTCTAACACAACCTGATGTAGTTTGGTTCCTGACGGTCAGGAGCAGAGGTGGCACCTGGGGACATGGCTTGGTGCTGCTGGGTTAATGGTTGGATTTGATGACCTTGGATGTCTTTTCCAATTTACTTATCCTGTGATTCTAGATTTTGATGTGCTGCTACAGGTTACTGGATGCAGGGCTTGTCGTGTGCTTGTGCACATGGCATCAACACAGCTTTTTGCAGGGGCATAGTGATAGGACAAGGGGGGAGTGTCTTTAAACTGAGGGTGATTAGGTGTAGATTAGAAATCAGGAATAAATTCTTCCCTGGCAGGGCGGGCAGGCCCTGGCACAGGATGCCCAGAGCAGCTGGGGCTGCCCCTGGATCCCTGGCAGTGCCCAAGGCCAGGCTGGAGCAGCCTGGGACAGTGGAAGGAGTCCCTACCATGGCAGGGGTGGCTTGGATTTTGAAGTCCTTCAACCCAAACCATTCGATGATTCTTTATTTCCTGCCCCAAAGGGGACGTTTCTCCAGGTATCTCGGCTCGTCGTTTTATCCGTGCTGCTCTTCCCTCTTCCAGGGGGTGCAGCTGTGTGTTTGCCGCCGTTCCTTGCATTCATTTATTTGTTTATTGCCCATGTCAGTTGCACTACAAACATTTCCTCAAGGCTCGCTGCCCGACACGAGGCCGCGCTGGGCGGCGCCGTGGCCGGGGGACGGATGGCTTCGTGCTCGGGGTTGCGAAAGGAGACGTCGCACACTGATAAAACAAAATAAATACAATAAAAGGGGAAGGAAAAAAAAGTTTTAAAAGAGTTTTAAAAGATTTTTAAAAGATCCGAGGAGGCAGAGCGGTGCCCGTTCGGAAGGCGCTGCCGGCCGATGGAAGCCGCCCCGCTCCGTGTCCCCCGCCCGGTCCGGGGGCACGGCGGCCTCCGGGGCGGGGCTGGCGCGGGGGGCCCGGCCCGGCCCCCGCCCGCAGCGCGGCGGCCCCAGACGCCTCCCCCTGCCCGCGGCGCCTCCGCTCGGCCCCGCCGCTCCCGCTCCTCCTCCGCGCCGCAGTTTGCGTCTCTCCGTCTCTCTCCAGCGCCGGGGCCGCGGAGCGCGGGCCCCGCCGAGCGCCGTGAGCGCGGAGCCGGGCGCGGGGCAGCGCCCGCCGCCGTCCCCTGCATGGCGGGCGGCCCCTGAGCGGGGCAGGCGCTGCCCGCGGCCGGCGCTGCCCGCGGCGCTCCCCCAGCATGGCGCGGGGCGGCGGGCGGCTGCAGCCCCGCGCCGCCGCCGCTGCCCCTGCCCGGGGGGACCGGGGGCCGCTCGGCCTCCTGTGCCTGGCGCTGCTGTGCGCGCTGGGCGCCGCCGAGGCGGAGTTCTCCATCCTGGACGAGGCGCAAGTCCTGGCCAGCCAGATGAGGAAACTCGCCACCGAGGAGCTGAGGGTCGTCACCATGCAGGTACGGCCCGGCCCGGCCCGCGCCTCGCCTGGTTTTCCCTCCTTCCTTCCTTCCTTCCCTCCCTCCTCCGCACGCTCTTCCCGATTCCTGCCTTGCCCTTTCTCTCTCCATTCCTTTCTTTCTTTCTTCCATCGGTTCTTTTCTTCTTCTCAAACTTTCCCTCCCCCCTGCGCGGGCTGCCCGGCTTCTCTGGCCCCGGTCCCCTCAGCTCCGGCTCTCCCCGGCCCCGCTCCCTCAGCCCCGTTCCCCTCAGCCCCAGCTCCGCTCAGCCCCGGCTCTCCCCGGCCCCGCTCCCCTCAGCCCCGTCCCCGTTCCCCTCAGTCCCGGCTCGCCCCGTCCCCGTTCCCCTCAGCCTCGGCTCGCCCCGTCCCTGTTCCCCTCAGCCTCGGCTCGCCCCGTCCCCGTTCCCCTCAGCCCCGGCTCTCCCCGGCCCCGCTCCCTCATTCCCGGTTCTCTCCGGTCCCGTTTCCCCCGCAGTGCCTCCCGCCCGAAGGCGAGCGCGGCCGTAGCGGCGGGGCACGGGCAGTTTCTTGTTTTATTTGCGATTTACACAATAGGAGCAGCCAAAACCGCCTCCCGCAGCCGCGGAGGGGCCCGAGCCCGGGCTCGGGGCTGAGCCCGCCGTGCCCCGGGGCAGCTCCGGGCGGGGGGCTCGGGGCCGAGCCGGTCCCGGCCGAGCATCCCGCGGGCAGGAGCTGCGGGGCGGTCGGGGCAGCGATGGCTGCCGGCCCCAGAGTGCGGCCGGAGGAGTTTGTTGGGATGCTGCATTCGGGGGAAGGCTGCTCTCCTGGCCGGAGTTGTGTGCTGTTTGCGGGTGCTCTGCTGGAGGCCGGTGGGACTTGCAGGGAGCGCTGGTACCTGCGGTACAGCCGGCGGCTGCCGACCCTCTCTGGAGGGGGGAAAAGTGAAATCGGATCCCGGGCGGCTTTCAGGGGAAGGTATGGTCAGTAGCAAATGCAGTTTTAAAAGCCTCCCAGATTGAAAAGGAGACACTTTCATAGGATCAGCGGGGGTCTCTACCCAAATGGCCTTTTATCTTCTCTAAACTGGCTGCATTCTCTCACCTCTGGACCATCATTGTGCTGGGCGGCCTCCTAGGGCTCGTTTTGTCCGGGCAAACACTGAGCTGTCTCTTGTCCTTGATGCTGAGAAGACGCGGATTTAAATGACTTCACTTAACAAGGTACATTATTGATGTACTGAATTCAAGGAAGTCCTTTTTTTTTTCCCCCTTCTGCCGTGCATACGCATGTGTGTATTTCCCCTCAAAAGATAGAAGCATAATCCTTTGCTTTGGTGGAGTCTCTGTTAATGCAAATTAAGGCAGTATAATTGCATTGCTAAATCCGTTTCTGGCGTTAAAAAACATTATAATACAATCACCTCAACGCGTGTTGTATTTGAAAAAGCAGCTCACAGAAATATACATTGTTACAAGAATTAACCATAGGATGAGCCAGGTTTTCTTTCCAAGAATTGTACCGATGATCCGAGCTCGGGAACAATCTGGATGCCAGTGCACGGAGATGCAAATAATGTTAAAATTCTGTTTACTATTAATTGGATATTTAAGGCCCTGAAGTGATTTAATGTGGTGGAACTGGTAGTTAAACTGAAACCCTTTTCATACTCAGCTCTATTTTTATATGCTTCGTATTTTGACTGTCTCAACTCTCATCACGCTAATGCCCAGCCTGTCCTTTGCTCCCCCCTGGAACATTGTTACAGCTGTTTAAGATTAAAAACCGGTGGGAACAAACCTCCCCTGATTTTAGAAGCTTTTTTTGCTGACCTCCTACAGTAGAATAAAAAATGTTATGACATGTGTCACTGCTGCCCATGCTTCTCACTTGGTTTTAGGGCTGAAATTTCCAAAGCCTGCTCAGGCAGGGATGGGTGTAGCTGGCACAGAATTCCCCATTATTTCTGCGTGTTCAGGGCTGTTGGTGAGTGGTGGTGAGCACCTGGGGCCAGGTGCCACAGTGGGGATGTTGGGATGATGCAGACAGGTCGTGTTTGCAGAAAAAACAGAAAAGAAAGGTGTGGGACTTTGGCAGGAGAGTGAGAACACTTTCCTGCTTTAAGTGGATACAAATCCAAGGGTGTTGTCCTGGTTTAGGGGGTGGCAGGCCCCAAATCAGGACTGGTGAGGGGAAGCTGTGGTGGAGGGAGGAAGGGTTGACATCCAGCCGTTAGTTTTATTTGCTTCACAAGCCAGAGAGGAGGAAGTGGCAGGATCCAGTGCTTCCCTTGCGTGCTCTCCCCACGCTCTGGCCCTTGCCTGCTGTGGCTCCCACATCTGCACATCCTGCTCACAGGCAGGAGGTGGTGGTGTCACCAGGGGGCTTTGCAGGAAGGGTCTGAGCTGGAGGTGGGCAGGAAGCATCCAATGAGTGCAGGAGCAGGTGGGAATGCTTCAGTAGAGCCAAGGTGAGAGGTTGGTTGGGTGTGTTTTGAGTCTGGGAGAGGAGGAAGGTCTGGACAGAGCCTCCGTAAGTGCAGGCAGGCAGGATGAGATGAGGTGGAGACTCCAGAGCGGACACCAGAGGAGCAGGCGGAAGAGGTAAGAGGAGAAGGACGGAATTTGTGAGCCTTAAATGCCTGTGAGGAGGGGCAGGGAGTAATGGAAGCTGTGGGATATGAAATAAATCAGATTTCTGCGGGAGCGCTGGCGGTGCTGTGAACCAGCTCCTTCTCTGTCTGGCGTCTCCTTCCTGTGGCACCTTCTCCTTGTACCTGTGCTTCATGGCTCCAGCAGCAGTGAGGACTGACTGCTCCTCATAAAATCACATCATTTGGCATTGTTGAGAGGAGTGGGGTACAGCTGGAAGAGAGCTTGAAGCTACAGGCAGACTGAGGGTGAGAGAGGGTTCTGGTGGCACACCAGTGTGACAATTGATTTTTGGCACTCACACCACTACTTTCTATTTCCAGAGCCTTGCATGAGGGCAGAGTCTGACTGTCACCTTTGGGGAGTGCTTTGTTTCCTCGCCCATGCAAGTGCTCTGGTTTCATTTATAAATTTATTCCTTGAATGGTACTGCCTAGAGCAGCTGAGGATCATGTAGTGTAGGTGACAACTCGTGAGTTGCATCATTTGCTGGATGTGTTGAACAGCAGCTTAAGAGTTTCTTATTTAAATTTCCAATTAGAATATACGTGTTTGTACCGTGCCAGGGATGCCCTTAGTGAGAACACGTGCTGGGCTCTGCAGTGTGTGTGGGTTCCTGGGTGTCTGCCTCTCTGTTCTTTCTCCACGAGTGGTTAAATATTGAAAGTTCATCAGTTGTCTGATTTTTCTCTGTTGCTCTGATTAATTATTGTTCCCCCTCTGTTTGGCAGTTCTGCCAAACCCCCAGTTAATGATGTTGCTGTGGCTTAATATTCTGTGTCCTCCCTTTCCCGTGCTGGGGTGTGAGTGCTGTGTACATACACATTTTTACAGGGGTTTTTGCCCTGAGCAGCAGAGGTGATCTGTTTATGTTTCTGCCCAAAGTCATTTCCCAAATCGAGCAGAAACATCCTCACCACAGTCTCTTCCCTTCCTCTCCCTCCCGCAGGACGGGGGGCTCTGGAGAAGGGCTGTGGGTTGTGCTGTACCACAGTCACCTGTGAGTGTTCCTTTGTTTCTGGGCAGCCAGAGCACGTTGGCAGCATCCCTGCCATTCCAGGGAGCACTGCTGGCAGCAGGCTGCATCCTTGGGAGGCAGTGGGCACTCCCAGCTCCGTGTTCTTGTCATTCCTCAGCAAACTCTCAGTGTCCCATGGCATGGCCTGCCAAGGGCTGCAGCTCGGTCAATGACTACTGGTGTGACGGTCCTGTAATGTATTCTCCTGGGCAGAGCTGGCACTCAGCACTAATTAAAAGTTAAGAGCCTTTTTTTACTAAAATTATAACTGAATTGGTGGTTGTGGCATGACCTGGTCTGCGGGTGGAGTTTCACCATTGCTGTTACCTGGCTTGTCTGATCCCAGCTTCTCTGGCCTGGCTGAAATTACAGGGGTAGGTTGTTGGTTGAAACAACTGAAATTCTTTAGTTGGGAGGTGAGGGCAGGAAAAGAACAAATCAGAACTTTTGTGAGCGATTGGTTTGGTTTTGGCGAGGTTTAACCCTCTAAATCTGCTCTGGGTGAGGTGAGGAATATTTTTTGGTATTGTGGGTCAAGGTAACGTTTCCATCTCCAAAACAGGGATATAATACTTGCAGCCAGAGTTGAAAGGAGTAAGAAATGCTTTGAAGATGAAAAGCATTAAATGCCTCTATAACTCTCAAAATGCATGTTGATGTTTCCAGCCAGACAGTAACAAAAGTTGTAGGCCCAGAGGGCCTCGAATATTTGTGAAGGCAGCTCTGCCATCTTAATCCTTAGCTCCTACTCTGAGAAGGAAGCACAGCCCTTTCTCATTGTCTGCTACTGATCTTGGGGACTGGAATTAAAAAAATGCATTTTGAATCTGAAAAAAAAATTTTAAAAAAAGCAGTTTGCTGGTCACTTTTTTCCCTGTTTATTTTTAGTATTAATACTGTGCAAACAATAATATATTAATACATCAGGTGATGCAGTGATGTGTAAAATAACAGCTTAGTGCAGGCTTCTCCTGGTTGATTGGCAAGCATATTATTTATTTATTTCTCTCCCTAATAGCTTGTCTGGCCATATGTTTTTCAAGAGGAACAGATTGTGCTCAGACAAGCACAACACGGAGACAGAGACATGTCCAAGGGTTTATATGGGCTGAAAAATCCACATTCTTTGAGGATTTTTGGGTAATGGCAAAGAGTTGGAGTCACCAGAACTGTCCATTTTTTCAGTCCTTTTTAAAATAAGCGTTGACAGAATGCAGCATTATTTATTTTTTCTAATGGGATTGTCTTCTGGCTATTGGATTTACTACTTAGAAGAGATAAATCCCATTTTGAGCTGTCCTGCAGACCAGTGTAAATACCAGAACCGTGGTCCTCCATCTCTGAAATCAGGGGTTTCACACATTTCTCCAC